GAGAGAGGCCGTGAGTTCTAGTTCCACTTGGCTGGGTGACTTTGCGCCAATCACCAAGAGATTGGGAGTTCAAGTCCCGCCTTAGCCATGAAAACCTCTGCTCCCTCAATCCAACCCACCTCACAGGGCTGTTGTTGTGGGGAAAATAGGAAGGGAAGAATGTATGAGTTATGCTCAGGATCTTGCGCTGTCTGTAAAATTAATAGAGACAGGATAGAAATAAATAAAGCACCTCCAGAACTGATTGAAACAGACTCGCGCACAGACAGCTGTCACACACAAAAACCGGCCCTTAATTCGTGCCGTGTGACTTCTGCTAGAAGTAACAACCTTGACCAAGATGGGACCAAATTATCTCTCCTTCTGCCAGCTGAGCTTCCTCAACTTTTTGCTCTCTTCAACTTCCATAAAATGGACATAAAATGGGGAAAAAATGGACTCTCCAGTCTGGGCTTGACAGAGGGAGAAGCAGGTAAGTTTACTTATCCATTTCCTTCCTTCCTTCCTTCCTTCCTTCCTTCCTTCCTTCCTTCCTCTTTCCTTTCTCCTCCACTTTCCCTCCCTCCCTCCTTCCTTCCTCCTCTTTCCTTCTCCTTGGTGCTCTCTGAGCTTGATTTTTCTTGCAGACGTTTCATTACCCAACTGGGTAATGTCATCAGTGATCCTTCCTTCCTTTTTTTCCTTATGATCTTTCCTTCCTCCTCCACCGTCCTTCCTTCCTTCCTTCCTTGGTGCTCTCTGAGCTTGGCGGTTTTCTTGCAGACGTTTCGTTACCCAACCAGGTAATGTCATCAGCGATCCTTCCTTCCATCCTCCCAACCATCCAAATTAAATTTATTTGCCACCTGTTTCGTTTCGAAGCGACTCTGAGCGGCTTACAACATAAAAACATTAAAAGCATCAGAAATAAATATCCCCAACCTTAAGTCTGCCTTAAACCTGGCTTGTTGCCCCCCACCCCACCCCGGCAGGGTGCCTGTTGGGGCATTCATCCCGTTTGCCTCCCAATAATTAAATAAATAGGAAAAACCAGGCCACCCCAAAAGTGGCGCAGGCCGAAAGATCCCCGGCCAAGCTGCCAGATCCGTGCCCGGCTGCATCCTGGTGTCTCCCTTGCCTGCAGAAACCCGTCGGCCGGGCCCATTTATTAGGATGATGGAAGTCGGAGGAATCTCAGAATTGCACTCCTTCCTTAATGAGCAGCCGAAGGGATCGGTAAGCATAATTTCAGAGGCGAGTAATATTTTATATAATCGCCGAGTGGTTTAAATTGAAAACCCCCCACTGAATCAATATTTACTGCATCGAAACGAAATGAATAGTAATAAGTCACTAAGCTCCCTCTGTCCTCTTTCATAAAAAATAAAAAATAAAAATAAAAATTATAAAAATGAGCACCGGCGCGAGGAGAGACCATCGCATTAACTTTTACGGCACTCGGGGAGTCGTAACCGACTCTTCTCATCAAGTCAAAATTACAGCCCCCCCACCCCAAATAAATAAATAAATAAATAAAGGGAAACCTGTCCAGTGAAGCTTTTGAGGTCCAGCCGGATGGGAAGAGGGGCAGGCGGCCTCTTTTAAAAGACCAAGCAGCCAGTCCTCATGGGAAATCAGGAAGGGAAGCCGCCGCCTTCACTAAAAGGGGTGCGAATCTATGCAACAAACACAGTTCTGGCACAGGTGGTCCTCGACTTATGAGTGTAAAAGAAAAACACCCAGAAAAATTGGTGTGTGTCTGTGAGAATTTTTTTTTTTAAAAAAATTTCCCCAAAGCCATTTAGGGGGGAAAAATGGGGGAAAAAACATTTCTCTTCCCAATTTTTCTGGTTTTGTTTTTCCAGGTCTTCCCACCTCTACTTACGACCCCAGCTGAGCCCAAAGCTTCTGTTGCTGAGTGAAACAGCTGTTAAGTGAGTTTTGCCCTGTTTTATGACCTTTCTTTCTATTGTGGCTCACCGCAGTTGTTAAGTTAGTCGCATGGTTGTTAAGTGAATCCGGTCTTCCTCCTTGACTTTGTTCATGCAAAAGGTCGTAAAAGGGGGACCGTGTGACCCCCGGGACATTGCGACCGTCATAAATACGGGTCAATTGCCAAGAGTCTGGCTTTTGATCACGTGATGCGGCAACGGTCGTTAAGTCTGAAAAGCGGACGTAAGTCACCTGTTTCACTGCCGTCATAACTTTGAACCGTCATTAAACAAATTTATTTTATTTACTTCAAACATTTATATAGCTGGCCACTTGCTCACAGCGACTCTAGGCAGCTTACAAACAATGAAAGCACAGTAGAGGGGGAAAATATCAATTTTTTATTTTAATAATTCATAATTCGTAATTTAATGAGCCTTTAATTTTTAAAGAAATGAGTTGTAAGTTGGGGGGGGGGGTACCTGAACAGGAAGACTTGTGCAAGACAGCTGAAGCGACCAGAATGCTGATTTTAACAAAATGACAGGGTTGGAAGGGACCTTGGAGGTCTTCTAGTCCAGCCCCCTCGTTGAGCAGGAGACCCTAGTTTATTTCAGACAAGAGGCCATCCAGTCAGACAAATGATTGTCTGATGTTTCCCTAACAGGAATGAAACTGACAGAGTTGGCAGCAAACATGCAAAATGCAAATCGGGGTGAGAAATGTTTGCGCTCAGCTTCCCCATTTCACAAGGAAGGGGCGGGGGGAGAGGAAGGATGGCATCCGTCCAAATCCCTGTGTGTGTGTGTGTGTGTGTGTGTGTGTGTGTGTGTGTGTGTGTAATCCAGCAGAACCTGCCAAAGCTAAATGCCAATTCCAAGAGCNAAGCACTTTTCCAAATGTATCTTACATAAACCACGACTGCTGATTAATCAATGTTGAACGAACCAAGGAACGTTGACTCCTGCAACCAGGGCGTGGCAGCATCCGTCCTTTTATCTCCAAAACCCCACTAACGAGCCCCAGGTTCATCGTTAATCTTGCATTCCGAAAAGACTCACAGAAGACTGCTGCTGAGTCACAACACTATCCCCCACTGCAGCCTCACAAGCAGAAAATCTTCCCACCAGCCTCAGGAAAATTCAAATGAATTGGAAACAATTTTACTCTAACTTTGTTCTCTGACTCTCACCTCAAATCCAGCAGATCCTCCCACTAGCCTCATGAAAGGTCAAATGAAATGCAGGCAATTTTACTCTACCTTTGTCCTCTGTACTCTCTCTAACTACCCCCTCACAGCCAGCAGATCCTCTCGACAGTATCAGATAGATTTGAATGAACTGGAGGCAGTTTTTCTCTAACTTTGTCCTCTGTACTCTCCCTGACTCCCCCCTCATACCCAGCAGATACCACCACTAGCCCCATGAAAAGTCGAAACAAATGCAGGCAATTTTACTCTAACTTTGTCCTCTGTACTCTCTCTGACTCCCCCCTCACAGCCAGCAGATCCTCCCACCAGCATCAGGAAAATTTAATTGAGCTGGAGGCCATTTTTCTCTACCTTTTTTCTCTGAATCTCACCTCACACACAGCAGATCCCCTCACCAGCTTCTGGAAAGTTTAAATGAACTGGAGGCAATTTTTCTCTAATTTTGTCCTCAGTACTCTCTCTGACTTTTTCTTCAACGCCAGCAGATCCTCCCACTAGCCTCATGAAAGGTCAAATGTAATGCAGGCAATTTCACTCTAACTTTGTCCCCTGTACTCTCACCTCAAACCCAGCAGATTGTCCCACTAGCCTCATATAATGATCAAATGAAATGGAAGTAATTTTACTCTAACTTTGTCCTCTATACTCTCTCTGACTCCCCCCTCACAGCCAGCAGATCCTCCCACCAGCATCTGGAAAATGAAAATTAACTGGAGGCAATTTTTCTCTCACTTTCTCCTCTGTACTCTCTCTGACTTTTTCTTCACAGCCAGCAGATCCTCCCACTAGCCTCAGGAATGGTCAAATGAAATGGTGGCAATTTTACTCTAACTTTGTCGTCTGTACTCTCTCTGACTTTTTCTTCACAGCCAGCAGATCCTCCCACTAGCCTCAGGAAAAGGTCAAATGAAATGGGATGTAAGCGTTCCAAATACCATGTAAAATTAAATCAGAGTCGAAGCCAAAACTATGCTTAAAGTTCCAATTTAATAAAGCAGGCATGGTGGCATACTGCTATGGGATTCCGACGGTTGTCAACTTATCTTGGCTCCGAGTGGTGACTAGAGCTGCTTTTTGGTGAGAGGGAGATATGATGGGGTGGACGACTTCTTCCTTCTTACTGTCATATTGCGGTTTTCTCGACAGAGCATCTGCTAACAAGTTCTTTCCTGCTGGGATGTGTTTAATTTCGAATTTGAACCTTTGGAAGTATTGTGCCCAGCGAACTTGCTTAGGGGATAACCTCCGATGAGCTAAAAGTGCTTCTAGGTTTTTATGATCAGTCCAGACCTCGAATGATATGTCCCCCCCTTCTAGGAGATGTCTCCAGGTGAGCATGCTCCACCTGATCGTG